TAGGGTTCATAAAGGTGATTCACCAACTGAGTAAGTCAATATTAATAAAACATATTGATAAAAACAAGGCACCAAAAAATGCATCACTCTAGTTACTTCAAGACAAAAATTCTTATAAACAGAATAAAGCAATGACTTGTAAAAAATTTTTGTTGAATACTCCCAGTAGTATACTCACTATGATCTTCAGTAAGTGAAACAATGTTGTTATTGTCACTAGAGTCAGAAACTTGCTAAAAAGAGTGCTTGTCAACTCCACATGTGTGTTGTAGAATATTGGAGACAATGACTGAGCCTTGAATTGAACCATGGCTAACTCTATGAAACATATTTGGATAACTTAATTATATTCCCGGTGTGGTAAGCAGCTTCGAGGATGGCACCCCATTATTCCTGTGTTGTCACTACCACATTGTATTGTATGATCAATAGAATGCAATGTGGCAGGAATTGTAATAGGTCACTTTGGAGATCAGGTTATAATAGATAGTGCATGTACTTACAGTTATGTAATGGGAAACAGTCAAATTAAAATGGAGATACTTTTAAATTATCATGACTTTTGTTTTATAAATTCATAGTAGTCTAAAAAGAATCTTTGACTGAAGACAGGAGCCTCCTAAAGCATTTCACCAGCAAAGGAACTCATGATGCCAGTGGTTGTGGAGGATGCATGTATGGGGGTGAATCTACCTTTGCACCTGCTGCAGGTAGGTAAAGCCGCTGATCCAGCAGGATTTTCCAGGAACCTTGGTATTCTTGATAAGGCATTTCCTGAAGTTATTTAGTATGAAGGAACAAAGTACAGTTCTGCTATTGTGATAACACTGTAGTACTTGGGACAAAAGAATAAATGCAACGCCCTCTCCCTCTCCTCCCCACCCCCCACCCCACACCCCTTATTTGCTGCAACTTTCCTTTGAGAGGTTTCAGTTACTTGTAGTCAACTGCAGTCTGAAAATATTACATTACTAAATAATTTGAGTGAGAGAGTGATCACATTCACATACTTTTAAGAAATTATAATTATTGTGCTATTGTTAATCTCTAATTGTTTACTTCATGAATTAAATCTATCATCATATGCATGTATAGGAAAAAACAATGTATATCGGGTTTGGTATTATCTGAGGTTTCATGGATCCACCAGGGATCTTGGGAAATATCCTCAGGGGAAAGAGGAAGACAAATGTCTGTAATAATAGTGATTGGGTGGGAAAATTTTGTTTTAAGGCTTGCATTTCAATGATCTGAAGAGAAAGACAAATTAGCTGCTTGGATTTAGAAGAAATGGAAGTCTGTAATCTTTCACTTTTCAGCATAATTTCTTGATGGGGGAATAAGCGCAAAGGATATCTGCACATAATTCTTCAAGTATCTAGTCAGTAATGCTCTCTCAAGAAGCATAGGGTATTTTGATATTGGTAAGTCTGTAATATGGGGTTTATAATACCAGCAAAAAAAAATTAAAAGGTGTTAAGGTCTTCCTTCCAATTCATCACCAACATTACCAAGAGACTAGAGTTCAACTCATTCTCTTTTTAAATTATTCATCTCCATAGAAATTCATTTTACTCTGTCCTATGTCTCTTCAGACAAAGATCAAAAGAATATATAGAAGTTTATTATTAGAATATTAAAAACTTGACTTGTAATTTTTATATAATAGCCATCAACTTTCAAAAGGTTAACATATAAATAGTTTTAGATTTATGTAAATAAAAATCTACTTGCTTCAGAGGGAGATAATAAACATAAAAGATGATGATTTGAAAATAAGCCAAAATATATAATGCAGTAGCCTATAAATGTTTAATACCTGTAATAAAATCATAGTGGCTATAGTGTAATTATAACTTATCAGACTTCATTCTAAACTGAGTGTGGAGTCAGATTTTATAACATGTCATAAAACTATTGATTTTTCTTAATGTTAGCCTCTTTTGCTATTCAGAAATCTTGAATAACATACTATTGTAATAGTATGGTACAAATATTAGTCTGCTTGATGTTTTATAACTCTCTTAAACTATCTTCACTTTTGAAAACTATTTTAAGTTTATTTTACCACACTCATTGGGTGAGTTGCACCGCCCTGCCTACCAGTTCGCTGATCCTTTCTATTTAATCTAGTCTGTTGTTGAATCCCTCTAGTCTATTTTTCAGTTTAGTTATTGTACTGTCTTGCTCTATCTTTTCTTGTATTTTCTACTTCGTTGAAGTTCACTTGTGACCATCTATTCTTCTAGTTGCTGAGCCTTGACTTTCAGTTCTGATCAGATTATTTATCTCCCTTTCATTGGGATTATTTTTCTCAGGTTTTATTTTGTTCTTTTATTTGCAGCATACTCCTCTGGCTCCTTTGCTTAACCATGTGTGCTTGTTTTCTATGTGTCTGATGAAGGAACCATCTCTACCATTCCTGAAGGAGTGACTTCATATGGAAGATACACTTGATCCTTCAACTTGGCTGTTGGGTCTCAATGCCTTGTGATTGTCCAAATGGCTAATTTATTTTAATAGTGTCTAGTTTGAGCATGTGAAGGAACAAAGCACAGTTGTTTTGCTATTGTGATAAAGATAACACCACAAAATAAAGGATGCCCTAAAGAGGGGATCTCATTCAACACCTTGAAAGAAAAGCTCTTCAAAAACAGTGCTGGGCGGTAGCCCTTCTGCCCGCCTCTGCCAGTACAGGCACATCTCACTGCCTACCTTCTCCCTTTGCAAAGCGGCAGTGGGCTCTCTCCTGTGGCCTGTGTCTATGCGCTGTTTCTTGTCACCCAGCCTCTCCCTTTGCAAGGCTGCCCACCTGGGAATACACAGGCCCCTCTTGTCCCTTTGAAGAGCAGCTCTGTCTGCCATCTTGTGTCCATGCAAGTGTCCTTTATCTTCTCCCCCTTTTTATAAAAAACTTGCCTTTTTGGGCAATATATTAAAAACTTAGTGCTGAGAAAGTTGGGCAGCCATCTTTATTTATTTAAAAAGACCTGGGGTACAGGCCAAGGGGTGTGTGTGGGTTGGGGGGGTAGCGGTGAGAGATTTCACCAGAGACAGACTGGGGAGCAGAAAGAATAGGAAGATTGTCTGAAATACACTGATGAGGGGGCGAGTCTGGAGAGGTCTGCTGTGCCATGTGAGTCAGCTTCCTGGCCACAAATCAAACTCACCTGAGGTGGCTACAGATAGCTTCATAGTGCTGCGCTTAACCCCATGTGCCACTAGGGAGTCCCCAAAATCATATTTAAAAGAATGAAGTTAAACCATATAAAATTAATTCTTTTAAACCATATAAAATTAATTCAGGCAGCAGCTCTTAAAGTATGCAAATATATCGTTTACAGTGGAACTATAAAAGTAAGCCCTGCTGACCACCAGGCTAGGTAATATGTCCTCGGCAACATATTGCAAAATCTGGGGCTTCAGATGAGGCTTATAAGCTTCTTTTTGCAGTACTGGAGTGATGAAAATCAGAGGAAGAGAACCAAGAGGCTATCCCTCAGATATGTGTCAAACCAAGCCTGCTCCTTAGGTCAAAGTCCCAAGACTAGTCAGTAGGTCTCTTTTACATACAAACTGGGAATGTTTTAATGTGCTATCTGTTCAGTGAATTCAGGGTGATAGTCAGATAATCAAGATCTGTCTTTCTTGTTGTCACAGCCCTAGGGATCCCAGGAAAACATGACTCTTTGGCTTCCATGGACAGGAACATCAAGGAGAGTCTCTTGGCCTGTATCTGAAAAAAACTGAGGTGCCTAAATAAATTGGAAGGCACCTGGTGTAAGTATAAGCTCCCCTCCAGGAGTTGCTGGTGGTGTGGGAGGACTGGCAGATGGAGAATAAAAGAAAGCATTTGAGATACACAAACACACACACACACGTATACATATACATATATGTATGCATATGTATATATGTATGTGTTTATATGCATATGGGTGTATATATATATATATATATATACACACACACACACATATATGTAGTGCTCACTTCGGCAACACACACACATACACACACACAGTACTTTAGAAATTTCTTTTCTAGTGTCATTTTAATTTAAACTACCCTGACTAATACTGCCCCTATTACTCTATTCTGTTTCATTCTGTAATCTATCTCATTGTCTTCACATTGTGGTGATACCAAATCACATTCACAATCATGGCAGAAAAGAACAACAATTTAAAAAGCTGATGAGGTTCAGGCCTACTTTTTAAAAATGGTACATTGGCCAGAAAACCTGTAGTTACTAGGAGGTTTTTGCTTTTATACCATGGTGGTAGGAAGAGAAGCTAGGATGGAGAAATTTTGATTTTATATTTTAATAAAAGTAAAAGAAATGTAGGTCATGTTCCTTGCTCTGACCTTTACTTTTGCTCAATCCTTCTGCTACTGTTCACTTTTTTGACCTCTTAAGGGTCTTTTCCATGACTTCTATGCAGTTTGCATAACCACACTCATGCTTTGAAGATACCACTTGAAATTTGTTGTTGGAGTTGCATTCTTCAAGTATTTTGTTAAATGATCTTTTTCATTTATTACTAAACAGCATATTATAGGATTCTTGTCATGTTTAGTTTTATGTTTCAATATTTAATAACATTGTGAAAACTTGCAGTCACACTGGGGATTTAGGCATCTTGGCATGAGGAACTGTAAAGTGTAAAGGCCTTGAAGTAGGAAAAAGCTTCTTGAGAAGGCAGAACTAGCTATAATTCAGGAAGAGAATGGAATTGGTGGGTGCTGAAGTCAACAAGCTGAACATGACCAAGTCACTTAGGATAGGAAGCATATTAAGAAAAGTGAATTTGGTGCATTTGCCCTAATTTTAGTAGTGAGACATTGAAAGACATTAAACCAGTAAATACTGTTTTTATTAATCACATTTTAAGCATTCTGTCTACTATGTGAAGAGGGATGGAAAGAGAGAGAGTAGAAAGAGTAGGAGAGGTCAGAGTCTATTTTATTTATCCTGGTGATAGATGATTACATTAGAAATGGAGGGAATGAAAAATAGTAGTAGTGCTGAAGAAAGGTTTGATAGTGAACTGATGCAACATTTTAGAGGAAGGGATGGTGAGTAGTGAAACACGATGTAGAATTAGGAAAGATTCTGAGGTTTTAGGCAAGATTAACTGTGAAACGGTGCTGTCATTAACTATGATGGGGAACCTTCATCAGGAGTGGATCTATGGGGGTTGAGGGGCGGGTTAGGATTTCCTGAGCTAGCTCCTGCATATTCAATGAGAAGTGAAGATGACTGAAGGGGTAAAATTTGGAACTTGTTATAGTCAAAGGAAGTGCATGTAAGAAAGTAGACGTTATGGGATTATCTTGTGGGTAAATTTAGGTAGGATAGAAGATCAAGGACAAAGACTGGGATACCCAACACTAGAGGTTAGAGACAAGATGAAGGTTCAGCAAAAAAGTATTCAGAAGGTGCTAAATTTCAGATGGGGAAATGAGGCTGACTGGTGTGTGACAATTGGGAGAGTAAGGCATTGAGAGAGAGTGGTGGGAGATGTCACACCTTGCCAGACAGAGCCTAGCGGAACCACTGGATGTGCAGTATGGAACTAGGTGCAGCTTTGCCAAGGTGTCGTGTCCAAATAGAGAATTGAAGGTGAGGAAGCAGAATTACAGGGTGTTCACTTTCAGGGTAAAATCACTAATAACCATAGTAAAAATAGCACTAATCAAAACCACTGAATCATTTGAATCCACCCAAATACATGAGTTCACTCTGTGATGAGCTTAGGTCTGTTTAATAGGAGAATGATGGAGAGAGGTCTTGAAAAGGTCAATATACACACAGTTTTGAAGAATAACATAACCCAGAAGGTGACAGTGATGTTTATAGGGGACACAGGGCAACAGGATCCTATAAAAAGGCAAGTTGATGTTGACTGGAAGATTGTGGAAGATGTGAATGGTCTCAGCTGAGATTTCAGAATGGAAAAGATTTCTTGAAATTGCCTACCAATGAAACAGAAGTTAATATTAAACCATTGAACCAATAAATTCTTACTCTTTTGTAACATAATGATAAGAGTTTTAGGTAATCATTTACTACTTGGCATAAAACAATGTTGAAGAGCTTAGAGAAATTTATATGTGAAAGAAATCTGAACCATACATTCTACGTACATCAGGTGAGTTTTCCATTTTCCCATAAGTTTTCTGCATTTAAGATGATGGGAAGGGCATGGTCCCCAGAGAAAGAACCTAAATTTGCTGTCCGAAGGTAGGCTAAAAAAAAAAATAATTAAAAAAAAAAACCTTTTCCTGCTGAGATAACTCTGAAAAAGAGGTAAACAATACCCTTTTCTTAAAAGAAACAAGAGTTCCAGAACTCAAAGGAATAAAACCACTAGAAAGGAAAGCTACAGAGAGAATCTGAATGTTTTTGATCATCCGGAGATGAAGTAGTAATTTTAAACTTTATTTTTGAGGTTTATATCACCCCTAAATTGGAACTGGACTAGATGTCCTTCAGCTTAAGATTCATATGTGTGACTTTTTAAAGTGTGAAGCATTTTAAAAAAAAAATAAGAAAGCACTAAGCAAAGCCATGGTGAGCCAATAAATGTAAAGGCTGCATCCTGCCAAGAAAGATTTTTGTCAGGACTCAAAAGGTCAAATTAACCTAAAAATACCAACTCTTTCCATTGAGCCTAAGTATTGGAGAAAGTAACACACACGGAAATGTGATGCTTTATGGAGTATTTAATGGAGGAAGAATTTGGTAACCAAAGGGTTTCCTCTCTGGGGTTAAGGTAAGAACCTGGACCCAATTCTTAGTTCACTTTATTAGCTAAAGACATTTTATTTTCTCAGACAATGAAGTCAGTATGATTTCAGTCACAGTTCCCTGTCATATAGTGAAGAGTTTTGCAATTTTCAGGGGGGTGTGCTTATTCTCAGAACAGAGTTAGGGACAATATAGGTGAAAATTGTCCCTGCTTCTCTGTTGTTTTGATCCTTAATTTGGTTTTGATCCCCTTTAATTTTTCTGGTTCTAATGGGTTTAGGCTTCAACCTTCACACCCCCTCTGGGGTCTAAATCTCAAGCCCCTGCATCGCTGAAATTGATGTCTCCTCTCCACTCTTAGGGTTTTCAAATCACTGGAAATACATTTAAAACACGTTTAAAGTTATTTTTAATGATGATGACAGTATAGTATAGGTAAATGTTGATGTATGATGATATATACCTGAAAGCTATATAATGTTATAAGTCATTTCAATAAAGATGATGTTTACTATACTTCTATATCTAGATAGTTATAATAGAGAATTTTTGAGATAATTTTATTATCTGTATGTAAACATACAGATGTGTTTTGATGGTAGGCAAGGTGAGGCTTATACAGAAATGAGCATGCGAAATTGTACTCCCCAAGAGTGTTGTATTATAAATCATTGGTCACTCAAAAATTTTGTTAAAGAAGAAATTTCAAAGAAGTCTATTGGTTTTGATATCCTCCTGATACTATTATCACATGAGAGACATGGAAATATGGACTGGAAAGAAAATTTTAATTCATCTAAGTCATCCAGGCCAGATCCTCATTTTAGAGAAGCAGAGACTAATAGTACCCAGGGTAACTGGGAGGACCTTTCAACAGCCACACAACTGGCTAGTTATAGTCAGGATAAAACCCAAGTCTTCTGAATCCTAACCGAGCACTTTTACCACACACAAACAAATCCCCTAATTCTTAGGAGATGTGAAGCAATGTCATTTATGATATGGCACTTCCTCCCAGCTCTCTCTGACTTTGCACTCTTCCTCCACCAGGTGAATGCCAGTCCTGGGCAGAGAGACACATGTCTGCAGAAGGCAATCAGTACACTGTTGCTGATGAGAGCGTCTTGAACATGGCTCAAGAACAGACCTTCAGGAGAGGTAAGAACACGTGCTGGCTGTGGGTGAAACAGGATCTCTGACTTACCATTTGATGATCTATTGATAGCATGTTTTTCCTAGCACCATTGCTAATAATTCAAGACAGTTAAAACGCATTTTACTGAAAACTAGTTGTTTTTTTAATGAGTGTGATAATATTAATAAAACTTTATTCTGTGGACACTGACATTGAGTTTTATATAGTTATAAATATTCCATGAATAGGATGAGGTCCATGAATATCAATTACTTTTCCTTTCTTTTTAAACTCTTTTAAAATTTTTTTCATATATTTACATTATTATTCACTTTATAACAGTATTTTCTTCCCGTTCCCCCCTCCTGTCATCCCCATAGCTCCCCACATTCCTCCTTCTTTCTGACCCTTCTCTGCCCCCCTCCTCTGTAGGATCTTTCTGGTTTTTACTTGTCTATTTGTTTTTGGATTGTTTTGTTGTGTTTTGTATTGTAATAAAAATCCTCTCCCCCCCCATCTCTTCATTGGGTTCTCTTAAGTTCATCCTATAAGAGATGAGCATAATCAATTCCAGCTCCACCCATGTTGCTGTGAATGGCATGAATTTATATAGTTGTTTTATAAAAAAAGTCTTTGAGGGACCTCTCTGGTTGTGCAATGGATTAAAGTGCAGCACTGCAAGCTAGCCACAGCCACTTCAGTGCAAGTTCCATCCTGAGCCCCTGCAGGTGACCCACATGGTGCGGCAGATCTCTCCTGTCTCACCCACTGCTCCCCTCAGCAGTGTACTTCCTCACTCTGCCTGTTCTGCTTCCCATTCTGTCTCTGGTGAATCCTCTCACTGCCCTTGCACCTCTGGCCTGTACCCCAGTTCTATATAAATAAATAAATAAATAAATAAATAAATCTTTTTAAAAAGTCCTTGACTGCTATGTAGGACAGGAAGGTAGCAACATTATTTCAGATAAAGGAAAAATTGCAGAGCAGAATTTTGAGAAAACAAGTTTATCTTTGCTGACTCTTAAGTTGACAGGTAGAGAAACCACATTAACTGTTTCTGCTCATATTTTATCCAGATGTTCTCAGAGGGAACGAGCTTTTCCTTTACACCATCTCATGCATGTCACCTCTGTCCTCTCTCTCATCTAATTGCCACTTCTTTTAAAAAATAATATGTCACGGGCCCTCCCTGGTGGCGCAATGTGTTAGGATGCAGCACTGTAAGCTGTCAGCAGAGGTGACCCACATGGCGCGGCAGACCTCCCCTGACCCTCCCGCTGCTCCCCTCAGCAGTGTACTTCATTGATCTGCCTGTTCCTCTCCTCACTCTCTGGCAAACCCTCTCACAGTCCCTGCACCTCTGGCCTGTGCCCCAATTCTAAATAAATAGCTAGCTAGATAGATAGATAGATGGGTATAAAATGTCACAAGGAAAGCTGTTATTTAAGTATCCAATTCAGTGTGTTGACAAGTTCAAGGAAAGTTGTGGAGAACCAAAATAGGTAACAAAAATGTAGGAAAAATGTAAATGTCCTATCATGAAGGAAATTGAAATAAAAATAGAGTTTATTTTTTGGATAAGGAGGTTACATTCCTGGGAGTAAAGCAATCAACCCAATACCCAGATTAATCTGCAGAGAGATTAAATATAAGTAATCATAGAGGAAATAGTGATAGAAGCATTAAAAATGATGTTAATTATGTTGTAAATAGAGCAAGGGCATGTACTTTTATAAAAATATAATTTTTTGAATAAAGAAACAAATCTTGTCAAAAATAATGTAGGAAATGGAAAAGTGTGTCCCCAAATTACCCATTTTAAAATAAACAAATTATGTCCTGGTAGTTTCACTAGGAAAACTCTGGGAGATTTTTTAAAGAGCAGAAAATGCTTTCGTATCCTGTGCAGAAGACATCCAAAGCATTCATGGAGATTGCCACTTTAAGAGGGTGGAGCCTCCTGTCTCTCTCCTTGAGTGTGAACTGTGCTTGTGACTTCTGGAACTCAGTATGGAAAGGGCGGGATAAGGAGCAGCTTTGCAAAGAAGAAACCTGGCCATACTCCCACAGGTCAGTGATTAAGCTCCACTATCAACAGTGATAAGTCAGATGGGAGAGCAGCGAGAACCACACCTGAGGGAGGTGAATATAAAATGCCTTAAAATATGCACTGGACTATGGTGATGGCACACAGGTGAATTGGTGGTGGGACGCCCATGGAAATTACAACTGAGATGTAAAAATGCACAAAATGAAGAATGATGTAAAAAACTAAAAAATATATTTAAAAAAAAATGTACCCTTGCTGTGAAATGATGAGAACATTTGCCTGTGTGGTCTTCCATTCAAAAACACACTGATTCATTCTAATCTTGAAAAAAACCATCAAATGCCAGTTATGGGGCATTAGACAAATACCTCATTGGTGCCCTTCAAACTGGCCAAGGTGATAAAAAAATCTGGACACTGTGCTAGGAAAAGGAGCCCACAGAAACTTGACAATGAAATGTATTGTGTTTTCATGAATGTATTGCTGCCACAGGAAGAAAAAAAAATAGGGAAAAAATCCAAGACATCTGGATAAAGCTTATGCTGGTTCACGAATTGTGGCAAGTGCACCATGTGATTATGAGGCACTAATGATATAGGAAAAATGAGTGTGGGATATGCAGGCCCACCGTACTAATGAGTCTGACAGTGCTCTGAAATAGACTTCCTAAGAAAAAGTAGAAAATGGTTTATGGTTTGAGATGGAAAGTTTAAAGCTATTTATAAACCTTGTATGGCCAAACAACTCACACACATTACAAATGGAGCTCAGTTATATTTGTTCATGAAATTCTCGCTGGAATATTAGAAAATTAAATCGTGTATTTGCATTAAAACAAAAAAAGTAAGAAGAGAACCTTCCAAATGTAAGTAATCACTTAATGAATTTATGTAAATCTACTCAGTTGTCAGGGAAATGTCTTGAGGTAGGTTCTTTTAGTAATACAGAGGAAAATAGATGACAGAGGAAATAGATGACACAGAACACAGATTTTGCCCCAAAACACACAACAGTACATAGAGGAGGTGGGATGCAAAAGTCTGTGTTTGGAATTAAAATGCAATTGATAGAACTCGAGTTTCCATAAAATATAGCAATGGCAAAAACTATTCTTATTGTTTCCTATTATTTGACTGCTATGTGTGTGCTCCTTCCTCCTTTTTCTTTTGGTTTAAATCTAAGGGAACAACAACAACAACAAAAAGAACAATGATTGCACTATGGAAACAGTAAAGAAGGACTTAAAAAACCCTTGTGAGATTTACTGAAGATAACTGCAAAATTCTACCTGGGGACAGAGAAAAAGACTAGTCTACATGGGGCCTCATCCTGATTCTTGGCTAGGAAAAGGCGATGATGGAAATGTGACAGTTACCCTAAGTAGAGTCAGCTGTAACAATATGTTGGCGATCAAAATCCAATGTATATGTTTTACAGATGGGGAAAGGCAGAGGCTCAACTAAATGCTCCCAGAATCAAACCCAAGTTGGGGTCTGGCAGTCACCTCCTAACAAGGGTGTCCTTACCCAGGGAACAGCACTGGACCTCCACCTGCATTTGCTCCCTGGCAGAAGCCAGAATGTGGGGCATCCACCACCATGAGGACAGGAGAGTTCAACTGACCCTTCCACTCCTATCCAATTGTGTGTCTGCACTCAGCCCAGGATCACCCAGGAGTTCCCATGGAACATGGGTGCATTTTGGGCAACAGTAGCCAAAAAATTCAAAGATAAAGTTGATGGACTTCTGTAGTCTGATCTACCTACCTCTCAAGCCTCATCTCTCTGACCCAAACCAAACCAATGTTCTCTGGTGATAAATGACATCACACATCATTCCCGATGCTCATGTGGGACACTAGCGACATTGCTAACAACTTCTTTCCTATTCATATACAATTTATCACTCTTCTGTCTCTAAACCCACTCTTTCAATTCCACCCTACTAAGTTCATCCCAGCACCCTGTCTAGAAATCTTTCTAAATGCTCACTCTGGCCACTCCTTCTATTTCTCTGAACAGTGGTTCTGGGGTTATCAGCTCCAAACTTCTCTGGGGAACAGGTGCCCACCAGACTCTGTAGACCAATGTCTGCTTTCTCATTATTCCTGCTCCACAGACACAATGCAGTCTTTTCTGGACTGAGGGAGAGTGGAGTCAGGCACCTACTTATAAGAACTGTTTTTTTCTCATCTCAGGTTTTTGCTCAGTCCGATATGGGCTGGCCTTCATCTTGCTTCTCTGTAACATTTTTCTTGTCACCCAACAACTGAACTTGAGCATCACCATGCCAGCGATGGTGAACCACACAGCACTCAATGCCTCCACAGAAGGCCCCCCTACTGACACGCGGGACAACTGGAATGAAACTCTAAAGGAACCTAAGCCAGTGGTGAGTTTAATGAGGCTCTGGATTGTTTCTCAAAATCAAATGATATTATTTAGAGAATGATTTATTGAGCACCTACTATGTTCCAGGAGTTCTATAAGAATATAATAAGTATCTTAGGAGATTGTATTCTTAATTACTGTCTATGTGTGTAAATAGAAACTCATAGTGAAGTAATTTAGTAGACATAGTTCTTCCTTTCCAATGTGAAAATAATCGCAAAGCAGGCTTCTCAGATTTGTGTCTATATCCTCACTTTCCATAGTTTTTTTTTTAACTCCCTAGCTGATGATGCCATTTTTGTTTATGGATTTCTTTTCTTTTTATGTTCTTTTATATATAATTGATCAGTTAAATTTTTACTGGGGAGTGATGTAAAGGGGAAATAATACATTAACTTCACATATATGTGTATATACATCTATATAGTTGAAAGTGGTAGATTAAAGGAATTGGCAGAGATATGAAAGTGGACTGCTAATTTTAAGTATTTTTTCCTCTCAATTCCTCATAATAAACAATTTCAGGTCTCTAGGTAAAGATTAACAATGATGTTCTGTTCTTTATCTAGGCCCCATTGTATGACTGGAACCCTAAAACACAAGGATTGATCCTCAGTGCCCTCAACTATGGCTCTCTCTTGGCTCCAATCCCCACTGGCTATGTGGCCGGGGTCTTTGGGGCCAAGTACGTGGTTGGTGCTGGCCTGTTCATTTCCTCAGTCCTGACCCTCTTCACTCCGTTGGCAGCTGATGCTGGGGCGATCTTGCTTCTTGTCCTCCGGATCTTCCAAGGCATAGCTCAGGTACCAAGATACTTTCTAGGTATGAGTAGAATATGGGTTCCAAGGTGATATCAGATAGCTAAGAAGGTAAATTTTCCTTTTCAGGTTATGGTGTCCACAGGACAGTATTCAATTTGGGTCAAGTGGGCACCCCCAATGGAACGGAGTCAGTTGGTCACCATTGCTCTATCAGGTAATTGTCCCTCAGTGTCACCACTGTGCTTCCTCATCACACAGTTACTGAGCGAAGGAACGTGTTTTAAAGCTAGATTGTTTGGACCACAGCCAAACCTTTAATCACCGTGCAGCTTGGCTTTGTGTGGGGTTTGATCTGTAGGAAGCATATAGATTCCCAAGCTTGCCCCTCACCCCCAGATAACTCACTTCTTTTTAGGGATACCAATGGGGGCCTTCACCATCTTCGCTGTTGGAGGTGTCCTCTGCCAGACCCTAGGGTGGCCTTATGTCTTCTATATCTTTGGTAAGTTTGTGCCTTTGATCTAAGACTTTCCTTTTAGGACAGAGAATGCTGGGCATGATTTCTGTTTTACAAGTTATCTATGGTTAGTCAATTCCTATTATCTATTATCTATAGATATTTATATAACTGAATTTGACAATGTTCAGGCTTAACCATGTTGTCATAGTTGCAGTCTGTCTCTGCAGCTTGAGTGTGTAGGTAGAATAACTTTATGCATTGAAATGCATCATAATATTTTGTCCTCATTCTCATTGGAACCTACAAAGGATCTCCAAGGAGCTTTCTCTCATAAGTTGTTGACAGTGTTATCTGGTGTGATTTTATTTTTAGTTATGTTTATTTATTTAATACATTTTAAAGTACCTTCTATTATTTATGCAACCAGAATATTATGGCAACATGATCTCATCATAGTTAAACTGCCTATTGCAGTAGAGAGTCAGTCAGGAGAGTCTGGGGGCAGGGCAGACCACATGAGGTGCAACTGTGTGTACAGTACACAGGGCATGATACTGAGCCTTCCCAAAGACACATGGAACATTCCAGAGGCAACATTCTAGTACTTTACTAATCTGTCATCTCAAGACTACCCCAAATACTGTGGTTTTCAATGAAAGTCACTTACTTTCTTAGTTCTGTGGGACAGCTGGGCACTTCTCTTTGCTGTGTCTCATATTTCCTTGGACAGTGGGTGATTAGTAATATGTTCTTCCCAGGAAAATGGCTAAAATCTAAGAAGGCAAGTGGCAAAATTCAGTGATTCAAAGAGAAAGGCCCTGACCTGCCCCAAGCGATTGATAAAACAAGTTACATGGCCAAGGCTACAATCAAATGATGAGGTAGACCCTGCACTAGGACGTTATTTTGCTTAGATGTAGATTCAGGGGAGAATAAAATATTGGCAATGAGAACAATCATCAGGGTAGAGCAAAACTGAAAAACTCCAATCCATTTCCCTCTTCTCCCAGGTGGAATAGGCTGTGCCTGTTCTTTTCTCTGGCTGCTTCTTGTCTACGAGGACCCTGTGAATCATCCATTTATCAGCCCTACTGAGAAGGAATACATCGTGGCTTCACTGGTTGAACAGGTGCACTGAGCATCTCCTCTGTCACCTCCCATGTCTGTCTGCATGTGCTGGAGGTGAGATGTGCAGTAGAGCAAAGCTTCTGTCTCTGATGCAGGGGACACTGTTATGTGCTTTCTTCTAGGGTGGTTCTCCTGGCTGGTCTGTTCCCCTGAAGGCCATGGTCAAATCCCTGCCACTTTGGGCCATATTAGTTTCTTCTTTCACTATATATTGGCGTAATTATATGTCATTGACATATACACCAACATTCATGAACTCTGAACTTCAACTTAACATCAGAGATGTAAGTATAGAGCAGTAGCTCATTCTGTTCTATTAAATACTTTGTGGAATTCTCTGTCCTTTCTATGGTTACATTAGGGGGTTAGGCCACAGGATATTCAAGTAGGAGTGGCAATGTGTTTTACTTGCATTCTGATTCAGGAGGTTCTGATTCACTGAGAAGTACCTATTGCTTACTGGGACAGAGTTGTATGGTTTTAGGTCAATATAACATTCGTAGACTGTCACATTTTTAAGGGGACTTAAAAAATGTCAGGTTTCATCCAGTTAACATTTCCAAATATGATGCACTTCTGTCAGCTTAAACCACACAGCTTTAGCAATATTGTCTCTTTGAGAAAGCAGTGACTTAGAAGCATTAAAAAATGGTGAAAGATATGATTGACAGGATAGATGTTCCTGATAAAGCTTATATCAAGCACTTGTGTTAAGAAGACACTTCTTTGAAGTACAACATATATAATAAATGGTGCATTTATGGGTACAAATGCTCTGATTGAGAGTAACTGCCTTTCAATTCTTCATAAATGAATTTTCTAATGGTTAAAAGCGTTGTATTTTCACTGTAAAGATAATTCACAAAGTTGAACTATTGCTGTTCCCCCCTCCCTTCAGACACTAAATCTGTGTCCCAGGTGATTGCAACATGCAAACTGGTTAACAGAGAGCTGCCTCTTAGCAGAGGTCAGAGCCTGTGGCTCCTGCATGCGAGGAGCCTGGGTGCTGAGATCAGAAAGTCCCGGACACAGAGACAGTGGGTTGCCCCAAAGGTGGAGGAGGACCAGAAGCAGCAGAAAACCAGGACACGGGCCAGGGAGTGAAGGAGAGAACTAGGACATCTGAGCTGAGCGAGGCGTCCTGAGGCTGCAGCTGGGAATGGTTTGTGTCTGAGTGAGGCCACGTGGCTTTCACCCCCAGACGCCAAGGCTGAGCAGGGCAGGATGGGGAGTGGTGGGGGGGTCAAGGGCCTGGCCTCAGAGCTCTCAGGGTGATTTCCCACTAAGTCACATGACCTTCATGGTCTCCCTTTACTCAGGCATAAAAGGAACAGCTTGGACCAGGTGAGAGTGAACTGTTCTTTGTGTGTAACAAAGGATGTTCTCCTCCTTGCATTTTCCTATAGACACCAAATTGATAATAACCAGGTTCAATTTATAAAAACATTTTAAGCATAAAAACATCTTTAAAATAAACTAGGGAAAGTGTCAGGAGATCCCAGTGGAGTGACATCTGGGTTGTACCCCGCGATTTAGCAATGGTAGGGGTGAAGCCTTGCTGACTGGTCATCTAGTTCTGTAGCATTTCCTGTAAATTTCAGTGTATTTGGGTCAAAGATTTCCTTGATTTTGCCAGTTTGATCCATGCAGAATTTTATTGGATAGTAGTATAATTATTATGAATTTGGGAATCTTTTAATATGTTTAAGAGCTACACAATTTTCCTTTTCTTCAAAAAGGAGTGAATGTTCATATTCTCTGCCTTTTTTTTTTTTGGCCGTTTTTTTTTACATCTGTTTTTTCCAGGTGATATTATATATATAGAAAACATTAGTCCCTTTATTTTTCACTATAAACTACATGATCTTTCCCCCAAGCACTTAAATTATGTTAGCTCATATGAGTAACATGACGCTTACATAAAAATGATGTGCATCTGTATAGCCGTAGCTGTAGACAACCAACCCACAACTCCGTCTACATTACTGTGGGGGTGATGACATACCCCTCACTCATCTCTTTCCTCAGAGTGGGATCATGACAGCTCTGCCATTTTTGATTGGTTTTCCCTGTCTTATCCTTGGAGGTCAACTAGTTGGTTTTCTGCTCTCCAGAAAAATCCTTAGGCTCAACACTATCAGGAAACTCTTCACTGCCATAGGTAAGAAATAAGGTGGATAGAGGGGTGAGTGTGGGAATTCAGGGAGCCGCCTGTTCACTGCGTTTGTCTCCTGCCCAGCGGTCCTCATCCCTACTGGACTCTACGTGTCCCTGGAATGGGTGAGATCCAGCCACAGCATCACTCTGGCCTTCTTGTTACTGGCTCCCATCTTCCGCGTCCTGTCTGAAGTAGGAGTTCTTCTCAACATGGTGGATATTGCTCCTCGGTAGGGATGTTTTTGTTTTATCCTCCTAGAAACTCAATTCAGGTGTTATGGGCAGACTTGGTCTGACACAAGGAGAAAGTAGGAGTGAATACCTGCAGCTGGCCCCAGCCCTACATCCAAATGGCTGCTGGAAGGACCCAAAACAGAGTCCTTCAATCGTTATTTTTAGGTGAAAACAAGAGTAGAGAGTGGCCACAATCAGAGTCCAACCAGCGGCGACTCTCTTTGGGGAATACAGCCATCGTGTAAGGTTGGATCACCAAAAGCACTCAGGAAACAGAACAGGGCTTGTTCATGGCAGGCCTTAGTGCAGGCAAAGGCAGGGGGCAGCAAGAGGAACACTAACCTGTGGTACCAGTAAATATCAAGATGACTAAATCTTCAGGCCTCACTCCTGGGGTCCTTTCACACTAATTCTCAGGTTATGAGGCAATATATGAGGGAGAGACCTTAGTCTCAATGGAGCCATTGTCTTATTTAACTGGGGGTCATTTAAACCTTAGAGAGAGATTTTGTATCTCCAAATCAGGTTGCAAAATTGGACTTCATAGTAGCAACCAAGATAATATATGAATGTGATAAAACCATCAATCACTGTGTAAATAATGTTCACAGGTTAGTTACAGTTTACCCCTTCCAAGTCTCAGGCCCCCAGAAAGAACTCTCCTAATAACTAGTCAGTAGGTTTACTAAGGCTCAGCACAGCCCAGGTAGCCACAGAGATTTGTAAAAGTTGCAACAAAGGAGCTGAGATCAACACTTACTTGCTCTGCAAACTTTTCCCTCATATGTCTCTCTCTCTCTCTCTCTTAGGTACAGTGCTTTTATCAGGGGTCTATCACAAACATTTTCTTATGCAGCAGGTGCCCTCTCTTCCACTGTTTCTGGATATTTTATAAACCAGGTGAGGTCTGGTATTCTGATGAAAATCTAAGAGAAATCTACAGAGCTTGCATTGCGAGCATTTCCTTCCCTGCTCAATGTGGTTCAATGCGAAACTTGGGGATCCCAAGCTTCCATACACTCTCATGTTCACTCTAGGCTCAATTTTGCAGGCAAATGACCACAGGTTCAGGTGTGGACATGGTCAGATGTTCCATATTCTGAATTTATGTGTTATAAGTTCCTAGAGGTGATATTCTCATGGTAGTCAACAGTTTTTTTAAAAAGATTTTTTTTTTTTGGTGCACAATAAGAACTGGGATACAGGCCAGTGAGAAGCTTCACCAGAGACAGAGTGGGGAGAAGAACAGGTAGATGCACTAAAACACACTGCTGAGGGTGGGTCAGGAGAGGTCTGCTGCATCATGTAGATCAATCCCTGGTGGGGGATCGAACTTATCACCACTGCAGTGGCTGCAGATAACTTTCACAGTTCTGTTTTAATCCACTGTACCACCAGGGAGGGCCCAGCAATTTTTTTAAAGCAACATCTGTGCCTTTCTTCTAACTACTCTGATGACTGGGACAGCTAGTTTCTAGGATGTAGCATTTTTCAGTGTTGAAACCTTAAATGCACCAGGCAACCGTAACCTAAAAAATATTTGCAGGGTGAATGAGTGATATCATGACACAGTGAAGGAACACTGCGCCTCACCCAGTTTAGTTCATCAGCGGACATACTCCTCTGACCAGCGTTGCTGGCTGATGGTTTTCCAATATGATAGCTTCCCATCTTTGGAGATGAGTTGTAGAATAAAATTTAATAGAAGACTTGAAAATTTCTAAGGAGTCTTATTGGCACAGCCTTTATATGAAGAAAGATACATATGACATTTATGTAGTATCATTATTACATTTCCAACAGAAATCCAGGAATATAAAAAAAAATAAAGTATATTTCTATGACATTAAGTTGTTTATATTAAGCTACTATTTTTTTCCCTTTTTTCATTCATTCATCAATCCATCCATCCATCCATCCATCCATCCATCCACTCATCCAACCTTCCATCCAACCAATGAATATTGAAAATGAATGTGTGCCTTGCATTGTTTAAGTAAAAAAATTGTACACAAATCCCTTCTTTTAGAAGTATTTTAAGAAAGTAATATGCTGAAAACTAAAGAAAGAGTAAAATATATGATACATCGAATGGCAGATGTTAAGTACAAAAAGAATAAGTAGGGGAGGTTCAAGCAGGCACCGGAGGGTGGGCATTCAATTTCATACAAATGCCCAAGGTAAAAAGGAACATTCAAGCAGGGAGGCAAGAATGAAACAAATTGGAAGGTGGGGGGTACCATCCGATCAAAGGGAAAGGCCAATGCCCAGGAAACATACCTGCATATTCTGGGAACAATCAGGAAGCCTATGGAAGTTGGAATAGAGTTGATGCTGCGGGTCCTAGGATATGGTGCCAGACCCTGTTAAGTAGACAAGAGGGATGCTAACTGGGAGACTGATACCCTGTCGTTTCTGTCTCCAGGATGCAGAGCTTGCTTGGAGAAATATCTTCCTGCTTTGTGGTGCTATTGACATTGTAGGCCTGGCCTTCTACCTCATTGTTGGCAAGGCAGAGGTCCAGGACTGGGCGAATGAGTAGACTTTCATCCACTTCCAAGCAAGCTGAGGGAGAAGTGACATCCGGGGCTCAGTTGTGAATTGTGTGTCCTCACACACACCTTTTCAGACTTGCTGGACTGATTAACTTTCAACTTGAATTGGCTTTGTTTGCAGTATCTTCCCAGAGACCTTGATTATGTAAACCTGGGGTGGTTCCCTGGGGATGGGAAGGGGGAAAGTGAGCTATTTTCCTGTGAGCACTTGAAATCAGGCGTGTTTGAATTTCTGTGTGATATCTATTCTTTCTGCTCTTATACCATATTGAAAAATATACATGTTTTCTTCCCCTGGGCCTGGCACAGAGTTCCAGCACCCTTGTAGCTTTTCTGAGTCATATGTATGATCGGAGCATCTTTTGTTATAATATATGGACTTAGTCCCAGTCGACTTAGTCCCAGTCATAATATCTTCTATAAGCGTTGCAACTTTTTTATTTATAATGTTGTATAACTAAAACTTCTTTGTTATAAACCAATGTAACTTCAATAAACTTTCTTTTAAAAAGGGAAAGAGAGTGCTCACATCCCTTCCCCTACAGAAGATGGTCTGCCTGCAACTTTTTCCTAACCAGAGGGACATGGCAGGAATAACACACTAAAATGTTAGTTGATGCACCAAACTATATTGGAATGAGTATTTTCAACGACCTACTTAGGGGAGGATGTTTGCTAATTCAGATGACTACATGATGTTTTATTACTAAAGAACACTATTTTAAAAATGGAAGTTGGAGGAAACCTGACTTTCCATTTTATCTTCACTAAGTTGGTTCCAAAGGAAAATGCAAAACCTGCCCCTCCCCTCTTCAGCTCTTGAGAAATTTTGTTCAGGTAATATCAAGGAAATGCCAGTATAATTCTAGCAGTTTATGGAGACATTCAGAGGATGAAAGCACCTGTCTGAGAAAATTGAAAGATGCTGAAAGAATTTCTTATTTGTTAATGACCATGACTGTGAGTTCTGTGGGGGGTAGTAACCAAATTCTGTGAGCACCACTGTCAAATTCCTTTCCTGTCTATTTGCAATTGTCACTTTCATAAGCTCATTCACTTCTCTGTTTCCTCTTCTCCCTTTGATAAGCCACAACCTTTGTACAAATTAACACTGAATTCAGTCATGTTAGAGTCTTCCATATTGAGTAGGATATTAATGATGAAAGTCTGGCCTCACCACATTTACCAGTGTCCAACTTCATTTATCTTTGACTTTCGTGTAGAGTGTCACAAATCCTCTCTGCTCAAGAAAGATGAAGATCTCCGTTTGGGAAGGAATAGCCTGGGACAGGTGTTGAAGTGTGGGCAGGGGTGTGGGGCCCCCACAAGGGGCACCATGTGAGAGCTGTAGCAGTAAGAGAGGAATGAGGAGGGCATCTCCTGCAGTGAGAAGATGGTGGTGGCAAGGTCAGGTGGTGACAGGTAGAGGGATTAATTAAGTAAATCCATATTCTAAGCACATGTGAAAATGGTGACTTGGGGTAATGGATATATTAAATAGTTTGTGGTAATAGTGTCATGTTGCATATGTCAAAAGACTGTATTACATTCACTACATTTTTATTTTTCAAAAAGAAATGAATCAAACCAAAAAGAATTATGTGCTGGAGACAAAGAATGACAAATACTGAGCAGCAGACAATTAGCATGCAACTTGTGGTTTTGGATTGGTGAGCAGTATTTATAGACAGACACGCCAGTAATTACCTGTACACATGTGGTCCCTACCTTCCTCCTCCTAATAAAACTATGGGTAGAACAAATCCAACATCCGTGAACACATCTATCCTGAAGCTTCTAAATTGATTCTTAAACTTTAAGATGAAACAGGACCTCTTCAATGGTTTTCTGATTCTTATGGTTGGCTTGGAAAAATACACAATGAGCCTCGAATGATGTATTGTGCCAGAACGCATATAAGTGCTTCAAAGAATGATGAAGAACCACAGGCTAAACCTGCAAGTTGAGCATCCAAGCAAATAATAAAGGTAGGACTTGTATTATTCTCTAAATGTTAATTCTTTCTCTTCATTTCATATCAGCAATATCTGTCAGGTTTTCTTTCTGCTAAGTTACAACTATCTTTGTTAAAAATACATAATTGAAACACACTACTTCTCAATGAAGAAAAGTCCAACTAAGAGAAATTACTTTGAGCATATGGACATATTCCAGTTCACATAAGACTTCTAACTGACTTGTTTATTTCAATGTGGTTTTGTGGTTATCTATTTTTCAGTGATGGTATCAGAGGGAGAAGCCACATGGCTGTGAAGTGACTGAGTCCCGTGTAGGTGCCCAGGCTGGGCGGACTTTTAATGCCACTCATGTGAGCAGTTCTTTGTTATCTGATTTCTCACACTTTTGGTGTGGTGATAAATATCTGAGGAGATGGGATCTTGTTCCCCAAAACCACATACAGTATTGTAAACGAGTGTTAA